CGACCACAAACAACTCTAACAAAAATGCTGATAAGATAAATGAGAATGAAAGTGAAAATAGAAATAAAGGTAAGGAGGATTAAGATAAAGATGAGGATGATTCGTAGATTTTTTGAATATGACAAGACGAATGTAGAAACAGAATACAATACCCAATGGATTCAAAACGGTGATCGTGAACAGTATACTGTACTACGATAGTACCGAAACATGCGGTATCTGTTCGCCGTATCCACACCGTATTGATGGTGTGGGTAGGTTTGCGTATGGGTATCATAGTTGCTGTGCCCACACTCACCCAGATTAGACTATTTGTAGATTCATTGTTCCTTGTTTTTTCCAATTTTCTATCGTATCATCATCACAAGTAGTGTTAGCTAAGACTAATTCCGGTCATGAGACAATAAAAAATTGAAGAAAACAAGGATCCACGAACCGGCATATCGACTAATTTATCAATATACCGATGACCAGTTGATTCACCGGTAAAATCACGTACACCCGTTACCGACCGATAACCAGTACCGGTTCCATCTCTGACCGAATTCTATATTCCAACAATTTCTTTATATAGCTGCATATAAATCGTGATCACTTATCTGTGCTTGTGAGAGCAACCGATCATGCTTCAGCTAAAACCCAATCGCTTCAAAAAGTCCATTGCATATCACCGCAATAAGATAAAATTGCACAGTTTTGACCATATTCCAACCTTGTTCTCATGGTGTATTTATGCACATGATACCCTGCCATTTAAAGCCACTGTCATTGAAACAACGACACTTTTCAGGCCATCACTCATCCAGTTCCATCCCACTCCTGAAATATAACTCATCTCATCATTAGACCATAGCATAAAGAGCGTACGCCATACCATAGAACACAGTAGACTATTTCTCTAACATAGACACTCACCTAAAGTGATTACAGCCACGATCCTTTCTCATCAATAACTCAAAGAAGCTGTTCATGCGACTCATCATATATTATCTTCCTAATAAAAAGATATCCGCAGTCATAAACTGGTTTTTTTTTCGCGCATAAGACAAATAATATCAAGATTTGTAATTAATCTCTTCTTTTAGAAACATACAAAAGTCATAAAACTGATGCGAAGAGTGAAAAAACAAGCGATAACTCGGCTTATGCTGCTGTTGCTACTGCTGCTGCTCATTATGCTACTATTTATTGTGGTGATTATGATTATGGTGATTATCCTTATAGTCGTGCTTATGCCGCTGCTCTTGCTGTTGCTCGTGCTGGAAATGCTGCTGCTTGTAGTGCTGCTGTTGCTGCTTATTTTGATGCTACTGCAGATGTTGCACGTGCTCATGATTATGATGATGCTCGAGCTGCTGATGATTATCTTCAATTTGCTACGACTTATGATTATTATGAACCTGATGGTGCTGACGGTGCTCATGGTACTGATGGCACTGATGGTGCTAATGATGCTGGTGATAATTATAGTAGTGAACTTGCACGTGCTGCTAATAATTCTGTTTCCGATGATGACTTTTGATGCTTGGGAAACGTCGTCTATGTTCGGGATCTTTTTTTGATATGGTACATGTTATGCGTGGTAATATTGTTTTTGAGCTTGTGTGCGATCGAGATTGCGGTGAGAATAGGTACTATAACTAGTTTCACGTCTGCCAAGGCGATCATCAGATGGCATTAATCAATGTGATCATAAAAAAGCACAAAGGTGTGGGTGTGGGGTGGGGGTGGGTGTGGGTGTGGGTGTGGGTGTGGGTGGGTGTGAGTGTGGGTGTGGGTGTGGTGGAGTCTATGGGCTTTTTTATTTCAAACTGAATTCTAAAATCAAAAAAACCGCACCAATTTCTTCCGAATCAAACTTTTCTCGTTTGATACTACGTAGTCCCACTAAAAACCCTTAGTCCCCCCTAGTCCTGCAAAGTCCCCCTTAGTCCCCCCCACAAAAAGCTTAGTCCCCGCTTAGTCCCTTGTGCAGGGGACTAAAGCCTATAGTACACAAAGCCACAAGCACACCCTCACCCTCACTCGCGCGCCCACACCCGCACCATGGGTGTGGATGTGTGTGTGGGTCCCAGACCAACACCCACACCCTCAGTCACTCCCCTCCCTCACTCCTAGACTCACGTTTCAGTTTGAAATCAAGTATTATTTTTATTTTATAAATTCAGACTGAAATTAAATAGCCCATAGTATGGTGTGGTGGGGGTGTGGGTGTGGTTAAAGAATGTACCTACACCACACCCATACCCACGCTCCACACCTCACATCCACTCACACCCAAACCCACACCCACGCCCTCTATAAATGAACTTAAATAAGTTTTCGAGGAAATCCATTGAAATCATGTAGTCTTTTCTGATGATGATTCTGAATTTTTCCCAAAAAATGTTTTTCTGATCATGATTGGGAATTATATCCAACAGTAAATTTTTGATTTCTGATAATGTCTCAGAAATATATAGTATGCGTAAATTTCTCATTTCTGGTCGTGTCTTAGAAATGTGTAATATGAGTAAATTTCTGATTTCTACAAAAAAACCAAAAACAGAAATCAGCAATCAAAGATTTAGTAAAAACTGGTAATAATTTGAGATTTGCCACAGTCTCTAGATAAAGCCATTTAATTTGCACGTAAAAACACCTTTTTGTATATTTTATAGTTTACGATGTCAAAGAGAACAGTCAACAATCTAGTTTAGAATATAAAAATTGGAAATATGTAATAAGTGATTTACTTCTCAGGGCTAAATTTTTTGCATTTTGAAACAGCGATATTCATGATCAACACACTCTATTTAATAGTCCTTGTTACTTTTAAAAACAAAATTTTTTCATAACCCTAATGGTTAGAAGAGTTGTAAAGAGATCTAAAACCTCAAAGTCATTTCAAACGACATGATTATGCCAGATATGTGGGCCATATTAAATTTCTTATTCTGTTATATTTATTTCTTGTAAATATTTTGAGTCGTAAGCCTGCCTTAGCACAACTCATTTTTTATTAAGTCAAGAAAAATAAGTAAAAAACAAAAAATATATATATATATATATATCAACAATCACTATATATGTCATGTACAATATGAAATTTATCATTAATAGATTCGTTAGTATCAGTGACATACAATCGTTTCACTTTTAACCAACAATTTACAATATTTTCATCAAGTTTTGGTATGTTACATCGAATAGATATGATCATATAGCCAGCTAATATGAGACTAAATTCTAATATCATAATTATTAAGATATCACTTGTAAAATTTATAGAAAAGATTATAATTGACATGATACATATTATTACGAACGGAGCTATTGGAAGATCGTAAAGTACAAATGGTAATAACATATCATATAATGCCGATAATATAGCAACACATTTTCCAAATTCTATAGAATAATCATAGTTTGCACATAATTTAATTTTTGGAAATTGTTCGAATATCGGATAGTGAATCATTACTTCAGGACATTTCACATTAATATATTCATATATTGAAGATTTATTTGAATTAAATGCATCGAATTGAACATTGATCTTATGTTTTTCTTCTGAACGACCAATATGAATGCCAATAGGTAAAATAGCCAATAACAAAAGAAATGAGTTGAAATAAGCAAAAACCAAATATGTACGTATTGTAAATGATTTGGTCATCTTCGATTATTGATGTGAACTAGTCCAAACGTAAATGTGTTTGAGAATGAAATACTCTAAGCTACAATGACTATTATATACATAAAGAAAATACAATGACTATTATATAGATAAAGAAAACCGCCGTTCAACTCATATTCAATGTAATCTCTAAAATATGAAAGAGGGCGTTGCATAATCGTCAATTTAATCCACATATGCTTATGTTTATCACCGTTCGAAAAAAAATAAAAAATAAAACTAAATACAGAAATGTTTGGATTATACTGATATTAATATCATATAATTCGATTGATATTATAAATAATAAAATATTATTTATAAAATAAATAAACAGCAATTGTTTCAATATTTTTTTTTCTCAAAATATACTATCAATTAATAGTTTTTAATTTATTATAAATAAATAAATATATTTACTGGCATTTCATTTTTATTTACTAAATTGAAAATTGAAAAAAAGAATGCTATCTTGTGATTGAAAACAATTTTTCTATCAAGAAATTATATAATAAAATCCATTAATTATCATGAATGATAATTTCTTTTTTTTTAATTCATATAGATAATATAAAATATATCAAATTGAATTTCTTTATGTATGAGAAATGAAAGTATAGAAAATTATTTCCATCTATCCACGCTAATGACAATGATGATCGTGCGTTGACTTTTACATTAGCATCAAAGTGCAAGTCAGGGAAAATCTCAGAAACAAACCTTAAGAAAAAAAAGGGTGTAGGTATGGGTGTGGGTGGGAGTATGGGTAAGAAGATCCAACACCCACACCCACACCCACCCTCTGTATCGTCTATTTCTACGCCATGTAAAAATGAATTTTGCTCCACCATATCACTTGAATTGACTCTTCTGCTCTGCTTTGTCGTTCTTATCAAAACATCTTGCACTGTTCTAACTAATTTTATTGACATGGTTACGATAAGAAACTAGATGACACAAAGGATGCACTCATAGTGAGTATAGCTTTCGTTTGGTTTTGTTTATCCGATGATTGTGAAGTAAAACGACCGCTCTCTTTCCAAATGGATCCACTTTTCAAGTCCCTTGATTGCTTCTGAAAGAGGTATCCAAAAGAACTACAAAATAGTATTCGATATCTCTTTTACAGCAAAACAGGTCCAGTGAAAATCTTTCCGAAAAGAAGATAGAGTGAAACAGTTGATCCATCCTTTATTTTCTATCGACTGAGTTTTTAATCTTTATAATCATCATAGTCATTTCATAGTTACTGAAAAAGTAAAAAGAAGAAAACAATGACGTGAGTTTCTTTTTCCCAGGTCGTACAAGCACACACATGTTCCGCGAGCTTTACAGAAACATATAGTGCTCATTTTGACTGCCCTTCCATGAAAGTTGTTTTGGACTACAAAACATGTAGACGAAAACGTGGTTTGCACAGAACTCATTAGTGAGAGCCAATAAGTTCAAAGGAAAATAAACACTTTCATGACTTCGAAGACATCTATTTCAACATTGTTTCTGTCGTTATAGTATCGTTAACTTGGTCTCAAAAATGATATGAATCGTTCTTGGGGATTGCTCATAAAGGATGTTGAGGTTAAGAAATAAAAACTTTCAGAAAAAGCCTGCTTATTCAAATATACTGCTTCATTTTTTTATTAAATAGTGCAACATTAAATAAATATATCAAAAATAGAAATTAATATCAAAAAGACAAAACACACATTTCATAAACAACAAACTACAATATCACCTATATTACAAGATTTTTGTTTTTTTTTAAGTAGATTGTATTTTAATGAGCAGAAAATAGTAAAAATATAAAAGAGAAAAACAAAAAAAATGAAGTTCAATATCAATGGCGCTCGAAAATTTCATACAACTGCTCTACAAAATAGCTACCCGCTCCTGTCGCATAATCTTCAATTATTTCAACATCATATTCGTATTCAACTGATTTACATTCAGTTCATTTCCTATTTAGAAATGTTTCTAGAAACAAACTAAGCTTCAACATTTCGTGGAAGTTGTGTGAAAAAGACAAAAATATTAATAGTAAGTGTATGGACGTCCAGAAATGTTTGACTTTCCATTCGTTCCTTTATCTGGATGTCCTTTCTAAATACTCCATTGTTGGATACTATTTGCCTTGTATATCGACTAATTGAGCTCGAAATCTAATATCAGTGCTATGTTGAGAATCAAAAAGACGGGATTTATAGCATATAGGATCATTTTTTATAGTGGTTTATGGATGGTCCAACTGAACATATCTTGTGCTAATGAAAATGAACCCGACGCACTAGGTCTAATGTTTATTTTAGGAATCTAATTAAATAATTTTCTAGATTCTTTCAAGAACTACATTTTCAAAAAGGCGTGATAATATATTGCCATGAATTGCATCGACCATATTGTTATTAACACTCGCGACCGTATCGATCAAGCCGTTGCCTGTTTTGAACAGATGGGCTTTATTGTTACGCCACGTGGTTACCACACAATAGGTTCAATCAATCATACCATTGTTTTCAAGACTGACTATCTGGAATTATTGGGCTACCCAACGGAGAAGGTACCGGAACAGAGACCAGAGCTGGCTCAGCGACCAATAGGTTTAATGTCTACCGTGATCAAAGTCGATAGTGCTGATCAAGCTCGGACTACGCTCTTGATGCGCGGTTTGGTACCACGACCAGTCTCTAATTTATCACGACCAATAGATCTGGAAAATGGGAAAAGCGCGGATGTCAAGTTTCGTGTGACAATGTTGGAGCCCGATGATATCCCCGGCACCTGGCTCTACTATTGTCAGCATTTGACACCGGAATTCGTTTGGCGTCCTGTATGGCAGACACATCCGAATGGTTGTGTTGTCATGACTCGGCTTAGTATCAATGTGAGTGATCCGAAGGCGGCGGCTCAGGTATACCTGCGTGCAATTGATTTCACTAAACTTGAGGATATTGGAACAAATGACTGCATTATCCGCTTGCCAAACTTCGAAATGACACTGGCCACTGACAGTGGCAAGCCGTCAGGCATGCACAAACTGGTGTTCGGCACTGATTCGCTGGAAAAAGTCGAGACCACACTCGCACAGAGTGGAATAAGCCACCACAAAGAAGGTGGACGCATCGTCGCCGATACGTTTTCGCGTATCGGTTGCGAAATAGAATTCGAGACTATTGTTTTGTGTCACGACCAAAGTTTCCATTTCAATTAAATGATGAGATATCATTCTTTTATTGTCATAAAGAAGATTTCCATCGGATCCGACTCTAGTTGTATCGCTTTATTGGAAGACACGAAATATCAAATAATGTGAAACGGACGACCAAAACCTAGTCAATGTCATTCACTGCCATCATTGGTAGGAACCGTTCGAGCATAATTGTGAGTGTAAGTTTTATTCGAAATTTTTTTATGAGAATAGAACAGTTCTGAACGTTGCGTTTGTTTTGAGAGTTTTACGCATGAAGGGCTATTTCCCAGTGAACAAATTCATTTTCTTTTTTCCTGGTAAATAGGATTAAGGACGCCTCACCGCCTTTCCGGATCTGAAAATTTTTTGATTTTAAGTTTTTCAGTGCTACATATACTTTGAAGTCTCCTCTATAGATCTGTGTAAAAATAAAATGGATGTGGATGTGTGAAGGATACACATAACAGCACCTGCACTCACATCCAATCAAAGCTTTTGGATGGCGAAGATGAAGAACAATTTTTGATTTGAAACAGTACTCATTATCCACGATATACATATAGCTAAGTATATCTTTGCATAGAGTTCTAGAGTCGATTCAATCGAGAGAGAGATCACAGAATCATTAATTTGTGTCTCATTCATTAGACATTCAATCTTTTGATAATCTTGTGTATCATATCTATGCAGAACATCAAAATTTTTGTTAGGCTGAAGTAGAATCGAATGGTTGAAGTAGAGAAATAATTTAGCTAATTTGAATTATCAAAGATCTCTCGCTTTTGTATCATATGGATATTGATTGTAACATTACTTATTTTAAATGAGAGATGATTGCGATTGAAAACGAACAAATAATTTTCTTTTTTTCTTATATTGAGTGAGAAAAAAAAATATCGTTATCAATTATCAAAAAAACGATCACGAGCCATGAGATGAGTCGGCTCACTAAAAACATGGTCTGATCACTGAAAATAACATAGTATGGAACTTTCGATTGTCCCAACCTAGCTTCAAGATGAGTAAACGAATATTGAACGTTATCAGCTCACCAAATAATTTCTTATTGATCATAAAAGACAAGACAGCGCATTTCAATGCTTTTTTGTTCGATATCTACTGGAGGCTCATGCTCATTGATAAAAGCGGTATGAGCCCCATATTGAGCACCATCGGGATTGCTATCGAAGATCTTGAAGACAAATATTTCATTTAATCGCATTCGACTCAGATAGTACCGCCTTTGGGCATCTTGGGCATTACGCGAGATCACATAGTTCGCAACGGTACTTTTTGAGATCCTGGAGTATCTGCCAAATGAATATCATTGTCGATGTCTAACGATTGATAGTCGCAAATAGTCAAAGGAGTGTTTATTATGAGATTGGGACCCATCGGTCACCAAACATTGATAATTTGAAAACGTTTCTGCATCACCTTTTTGGCTTCTTCTGCACCGAGTACTTGTTCAACCTTGAGGCGAGCTGCAGATCGATCATTATCCACATGCGGATAGAAAACAGGATTCGTGTGGCTCTGAGCACATCAATCAGCAGCACGAGGAGTCGCTCGATAGCGAAATACGTGATTGAAGATAATCACATAGGAGGCACCGAGACGTTTCTTGAGTAGAGCAACAATGTCTTCATAGCACTGTCGTCATCAAATTCATCGTGTATATTACCATCATATTTGAGTATTTCAAAGCCACGAGTGTCGAGATCTACAGTATTCTCTTTGCTCCGCAAATCATGGATCGTAACACGAGTTGGTATTCGTGCGAAATTTGACCCTGCCTACCCAAACGTAGGACTCGCATCGAACCATTGAGGAGAACCGTCAATCGTGTGACTATAAAGATAAATGTCTCCAGAAATGTCGGTGCTCATTGCCAACTCCAAGCAACTTGCACAAATAGAATAAGTGCATGCAACAAATGAAAAAATAAAAACACCATAATTTTGTTCTCTCACTTCTTATCTTATCTAAGGCAGAGTACTGTCAAGAATCAAGTGAAGAATAGTCACCCAAGGTTATTGCGTATCACTTTCATTTTTTTGAAACTCACTCTTTCCTTGCATTACTATTTGACACCCTTTAGAGCGAAAGATAAGAGGAGAAAATTTTTAAAAAGTGGGACACCATCGTGTGTGAATAACAGTACTCGAAACTGGTAAGAAAGCGTTGTTTATGGTTGTCACAACCAGACTACAGATCAATCAAAGAAACTAACTCTTACAAAACAGAAAAAAACTGGAAGCAAATCCTTCTGTGAACTAACAAAATAGCTTCAAAAATGCATTGCATCTCACTTAACAAATAGATCTACACACTTCTTGTCAGCTAACATATATACATACAGAAGATTCGACATTCACGATGCGTCAAAATTTTTGTTCTGCATAATGTTATTCTGCATTCTTCATAAAATTTGAAGCATGCCTTCTACCAACTGATTGAGAAAAAGAAAAGCAATGGAAGCGAAAAGTGTTTTCTTGTTTTCAGTTCCACCATAGACAGCTTCAAAACGACAATCAGAGGAATAATCTAAAGAAATTAAAATACAAGTGGCATGAATTATGAACGATAATTTATGTTCAGAATAATAGGTTGACAGCGCATCAACAGGTTGAGACACAGAAGACAAAAATGTAAGATGCTTGCACTCCAAGTATCTACTTTTTTCAATTTCTTTTTTGTCCTTTGGTAGGATAGAAAAAATTGTACAATATTTGTGAAAATCAGCTTGATGATCGTTAATGTGTCTCTACAGGACCGATGTGCTATCAAAATTAATCATCTTTAACAGAAAAAAATGGCTAGATTCGGATAGTATTTAGATTCTTCATCCTAGAGAATAGTGCATAACGTTGTATCATGATATATCTAAGTTATGTGCAATTGATTGAATGATGCGCACTTCATTTTTTTCATAACTAAATGAATCCAGAGATGGACTAGATTAAAGATGAGATCTCGCCACTATGTCCGAAAAATAACCTAGGCTTACATGAATATTGTTTTTCATCTTCTTCACAACAATCATTCGATATACACTTTGTAAGTCAATAGTTAAACTAGTAAGTCACATGCAAACCTATCCTCTGGTACGATACAATAGAGGCATAGGTTCAATCGCATCTAGGAATAGTCAGACGTAACGAGACTAGCTGACGAACTCGCTGCACGTAGAGCACAACAAACTGTGTGAAGATAATCAGAAATATTGACATGTGCTGGAAAACTAGCATAATTAAAACTTGATCCAGAGTGTTGGAGACGATGAGAAACATGCAATTATGTTTGATGGATTTAATCAACTCAATACATTTATCATAATCAGAAAAAAATTTAGTCACTCGATTCAATTCACACAGCATCTATTGTCTGATCAGTGAATGTTCAGTAAATCGAACGACGAATGAAGATGAACAGTAAAAGGATCATTGACCTGCTTTATGAACAAGTTTTTACTATATATTTCAACGAATTAGACTAGATGATATGAATGTTTGAAATGATTAATAGGCAGTGGAATTCGGAGAATAATGTTAAGAAATTCGAATATGATTGTCGATCAACTCAACACTTCAATGTAACAGTCATTGTTCTTTGTTTGGTTGATTGTTGGAGAAATGGTTCTACCACTAGTAGAAAAAAAGGCTGCAACTAAAGAATTTTTCGTTGTCAGAATGTTGAATATTTTTTATTTCTTCTCAATTTGTGAAAATCATTGGTTTGTATCTTTCTCGTTAGTCATTGGGCGGATCCGAATGTTTTTCATACTATTCTTACTAAATCTATGTCTGCACTATCATGTTCTCACGTGCAAAACGTTCTGTTATTGGACAATGCTTCTTTCATGAGGAGATTGTCAATGTTGTATTACTGAGTCTATTCAGCGGATCGAAATTCGAGAAACACATTGATTTTATGTACATCAAAACATTCTCTCAGATACAGAAGTTTCTTCGAATCATCAACATCGATTTTCTGTTTGATATTTCTAACATATTTTACTGTACAAAGTGGATACTTGTTTCGAATTAGGTAGAAATAAACAAGATTCGAATAATTTAATTGAACGAAAAAGAAGAGCTACAGAAAATGAAAAAGCTGTTGGAAGTTCAAAAGTAGCGAATGGTGGGGTTGTTTTGTTCTTCAACACGATCTATTCGAACAATTGATTGCTCCATGAACAAATATGATTAGACTAATTCATTGTATCGGCATTCAGAAAAATTTGAGTCATTTTTTATTTTTTTCTTCCATATGTTCTTGACAGAAGAAACGAAACTTCATTTTAGAGTCAACTCCTATTCGTCACTGATTTTCCACATATATTTTTTTCGTAAATAGCTTCTCTGCTCTCAATATTCTAAGCAATTTTGGCAGGTGTATTCTATTGATATAATATATGTTTCCAGATTTCTCAATAATCTTAACGCAAGAAAAACTTCTTTTTAGGTGACGTGGCATTTAGTATGAAAATGAGTCTTTTTGGAGGAATTTTTTTAAACACATCCCCGAAAACATTACATGAATCTTAATGTAGCAAAAATCTATTTTCAAGTGCCGTTGTTAAAAATAGCTTTTTAGCACGATAAGGTAGTTCGAGAAAAAATTAACTATCGAAACGGTGATCTTAGGAACAACGAGGCATATATTCCTAAAGAGAAGAGTGGACTTTTCAAGTCTATCGGGAAAGAATTCGATAGATTCTTTATATCTAATGGAAAATAAGACGATGTTTCCGATAGCTCGCTAGATTCTGGATTTTATCACTTTGAAACAATCGTATCTCAGAAAGGAGTACATATAGAGAGATAAATTTTTCGGTGGCAATAAGGAGAAGTAAGGCATATATTTGAAAAAATTTCATTCAAAATCGGTCAAGAAAAATGAGTGCCTGTTTTTGGTCAAATACACTTTTCAGAGCAATGGTACAACGGTCATGCAATTCACTAATATGTTTCCTGAATTCTTCTTATTCTAGTCGTATTTTTTCCTGACTCAATTTCATCGGCAGAACTATATCAAAAATCTTTGGCTAGAATGTCGACTTATCTTCTTTGGACGATTTTCGATGTTTTTCTTTCTGGATGTTTTCAGTAGAATGAATCATTTCTTTCTTTTCTATCTTTCTCCCTAAATAGTAAGGTTACATTACATGGTGTTGTTGTTGATGCATATTTTCTCAATATGGACGACACGTGGCAGTTGAAGACCGACTTCTATTCATTGTTTCAACATAACAAATATGCTCCAATTGATGGACTACGATCAATTTCGTGTTTAATGACCATTTCACTGCATATCATCAACCTTTTAAATTCATTTATTGCATCTTATCCAGCTCATGAATGGATGATTTACTTAAAAAGCTATTCATTTCAATTGTCAGCATTATTGTCATTATCGTTGGAAACATCTTTTATGCTATCCGGATTTCTTCTTACACTAAAATGTATTGAACACAATTATTTCTTCACTTGGAAAGAATATTCAATTTATATATTTAGACGAGCATGTCGTTTTTGGCCAGGTATTTTAATGATTACCATTGTTATGCTATTACTGGGTGAACCAAAAGGTAATTGGATGAGTCTTTGGTTATTTTATCAAAATTACGTTGATATAGAACAGTGGTCAGCCGCCTTTGGTGCTCTGTGGAGTATCAGTCTCGATATGCAAATGCATATACTTCTACCCGTTGTTTTGTACATGATTGTTAGTCGCACGTTCAATTATCAAAGAACTTATTTAGCATTATATATACTCATTATTTTGTCAATTGTATATTTACTGTCTGTTTTCAATCCACAAACAATGGATTTGCCGACGATTATGTATCGTTATAATTCAATGGCATTATTGATGCCACAACGAATTTTTTATTGGATTATAACTGAGTATAATATTACATTGACATTCGAACGACAAACTGTACCAAGTCCAATAACATCATTCATGAATAAGATGTATCTACCTGTCATAAGTCGATATTCAAGTTTTATCATCGGATCAGTCTTAGCGTTGAATTTGATGAATGCCAAAAACTCGAATGTTATTTATTATGGAAAGATGAAAAAATATCTATATTTTACATTAATTTGGCTGTATATGCTCATATTAGTGACACCAGCTGAACCAACTGCAGTCAATCATGTACTACTTGCAATCATGATATCAATTGGTCGACAATTATTTTCAATATCACAAGCATTTATTCTCTTTTCTGCTCTTTGTCCATCTACTCATCCTTATCACAGTTCATGGATCAGATCATTTTTGTCACTTCCTATCTGGACATCAATTGCCAAATGAAGTTACCTTGTATACATCCTTCATTTTCGAATTGCATTCGAACTGATTATGTCAAATACCAATCTTCAATTGATAGTTTAGCACCTATATGTCTTGTATTAGTGCTCACAATATGTCTAAGTTTAGCAGTAGTTTGGTTCGTTCTCGTCGAAAAACCATTTGAACGAGTGATTAATCAACTTTTATTCAAAAATGAAAGGATTCATACTAAATAGTTTAGTAGAAACATATGATTGCACTGTTGTTATAGTGTGAATCAATTATATATATGGTATTTTTCTTTCCTCTTTCTTCTGTTCTGCTATTGTACATAGATGATGCGTACGATATACATATGTGCCTCTTCTTCTTTCCTTTTCTTCTCTTTTCTTGATATCTGATTTTTAAAGCTAAAGCTATTTCTTTTCACAAAACTAAAACAATTATGAACTACTGAATTATTTAACTGGATCGATCAAAACATGCAAAAGGTGGTGACACGCTTATCTTACTTTAGAAGATGTTTTCGGGAGAGAGAGAGATTCGAACATGCAAGAAAAGTATACTCTATCGAACTTTTCTTAATCTAAATTTTTAATTAAGAAACATTAAAGAAAAAGTAAATCATTAACGCATATTACACGTATACAAACGAGTGGTTCGTATTCAGGGTTGCCAGATCAAAAATTTAAAAAGCAGATTTTTTATATTGGAATTCGGAAAAATTCAAAATCTATTTTCTAAAAATTCGGAAAACAATCATTTACCTTTTCTATTCATAAGTTGAGCTTATTTTTTGAATTAAACATATCTTCTTTACTGACTATCGTTTATTCATGGACAGTTCATCGATAGTAAAGGAAAATACAATAGTTAATTCGTTATTTGAGATCATTTTTCTGAAGAAAACATGTAGATAATGGAAAAAACCAAGAAAAGCAATTATACAGTGTCCCATAAGTAACTATACGATAAAAAAATTCGTTATCTTCGCTAAGCATTAATCGATCGGACTAATTTTTTTCTCAGTGATAAAGGAGACTTCAAAGTTTTTTTTTATCAAATGAGAACTATTAGCAGACAACGCTTTGGAGTACCATTATTGGCTGGCAAGCAGAAACGTTGCCGTTTTAGACCGCTAAAAAATGCTTTCGTGCAAGAATTCGAGATGATTTTGAGCTCATTTTTTGTCCATTAGTAGGAGATCAGGAGATCCGTTAGCAACCCATTTTTCAATATGACCGTAGTCTCGAATTTCGACCTGAGGCTTTGATCCTGTGAAGATCTCAGCTAGACTAGCTCGTGTAACAATTCTCAGCATTTTTCAGTGGAAATGCTTTGAGATACAAATTGTTCAAAATCTTATGTTTTTACAAGATATGGACGATGAATGCCACTATTTTGAAAAAATTACTACCTCAAAGTTTCTTCGTTGATAAATGCTGAGATTTGTTACAGAAGCTAGCCTAGTTGAGATCTTCACAAGAGAAAAATCTCAGGTCGAAATTCGAAGCCACGAACTGATTAACAATGTAGGTTTCAACAGGAAAAAATTCACTAGAAATTCAGTATCTCAGTCAAAACTCAAGAAAAGAACGAACCCTTTAAATGTTTTTCTAGTCTCATCATCTACTGCCATTGGGCAAAGTATGAGCTCAAAGACTGTTAATCAAATGGAGATTTTCACTTCACACTGTTTCTTTTTCAGAACTTCGAAAAGGCAATATTTCTTTGTTGAAGTCAAAAATGTTACGCCAAAGCATTATCTGCTAATGATTCTCATGTGGAAAAAAAATTTAGAATTCTCCTCTGTCGCTGAGAAAAAAATCAGCGTGATCGATTAAGTCAAAGTGGAGATAACGAATTTTCTTTTATCGTAAAGTGACTTATGAGACACCCTATATATATATAATTACATATTCAGTTAAAAACACTTGTATAAAAAAAAGCAAAATGGCGCAGTAATAGATAATAGAAGGTATAGTAAACTCCTGAGTAAAGTGAAAACTTACAAAATATCACTATTCGAAAAAAATTCGGAAGAATTCGGAAACTAGGAAAGCAGTCGGGAAAAAAAATAACTATTCGGAATTTTTTTGGGAGCATTCGAAAGTTCTGGCAACCCTGTTTTTATTGAACATTTATGTATAAAAAGTCTCACCATGTTCATCAAACACATTCATATATGTTTCATTCGCTTTTAGTCTTGTCGTACTCTTGATCATGAGCGAAAGTACACCGTAGACAAACAAAGTATGATGTGAAGGGTGGGTGAGGTTGTTTGTTTTCTCTGCACCCTCACAACATTTTTTAATGGTACGCTTGTGACGGTCTGAATGAAAATTAGGATTCGAACATAAGAGGGGGAGGGACGCCAGAAAAATTTTTATAGCCAGAGAGTCATTTTTTTAGGGACCTGGACCGAAAATTCAAGACACGGCTGACGGTAATTGAAACTTTAGAGGAAGGACACAGGATAAGCGAAAATTATAGATAAAGATAGGCATTTTTTTCTGTCGGTATGCAAGATAAGATAAAATTTCTTTTCGGAAGTTGTTCTACTAGAGATGGACAAAGTGAACCGATAATGTCCAGATCACTCATCAAATTGCATAATTCCAGTCACGTTCAATATAACAGTGTGTATGCCTCGTTTCACTGCAGAACTTTAGCAACAGAATGATCTTATGCTTTGCTGCTCTACTTTGTCTTTCTCTATCAATTCAAACAGTTGTTTTTTGCTTATGGTATCTCTTCGTATCTATCTCCTCGATTAAGTCCCCTTCCCATCCAGAAAAGTCCATTTTTTCGAAAAAAACTAAATTTCAAGATTTAAACATAATCTGATAGTCTTTACAGTAGGCTTTAAGTTGGCATACTTTATTTTGCCAAAAGAAAAAGGTTAGGTTTTTTTCTAATGAGTTTTTTTCGAAAGGACCTCTAGTTGATTAGTATGAATTAGGGTCAGGATTGCCAGATGTCAAACTCGAAAATCCGGAAATATTTTTGAGGATCAATTTTAGCCGTTTAAAGTACGTTTTACTCGAACAGATTATGAATAACGATATTCTTTATATTCACAAAATATATTTGAATAAAAAAACCATACCTCAAAACATAGTTTACTCAATTCTAAGAACTTATCAAGTACACATTTCTCGCTTAATTTACACGTTGTTTCTTAGTGCAATATTTTTTGTTCGAATGAATAAATTTCAATAATTCTGGTTTTGATAAGAGAAAATCATAAACTTTTGTCTACGATACTGATGAATTTAAAGGAATTTTTAATTCAACTGTAATGAGTTCTGTTCACGTACGATTTCGTTTATCATCATATAAATGTTTCATTGTCGAAAAGACACTTTCGACATATACATTACTGCAAGAGATTGAGAATAAAAAAGAAATAAATTTGTGTATAGTCTTGTAGGTAGACCAATAGAAGGTAACACTAAACCTCTATTGAATCAGTAATAATTTGTTTAGAATGTTAACCAATAAATAAAATATACTTGAGATGGAAAGCATCTAAAATCCGGAAGACCTGGCAATCCTGCTCAAAATCAAAAAATTGATTCAACACAAAAGCGTCTTTTCCATGGGACTCATGATGATCTAATGAACAGTTCTATTGAAGTTTATCATAGAATCTACGACTAGTTTGGTCTGAATTGGTCGACAGAATTCCAAACGGCAATGCACAAGTAGCTGCTAGATAATCCTCAAGAAAAACAAGGTTGACATTCGTAGTCTCTAGAAGAATGGGGTTTTAAACGCGAAGAGATCGAAGCACATTATGCTAATTACACAAAACTTTTTCTCTCGCAATGAATTGTATTCTCTTCTTTACCACGTATGGTTGTCAGTTTGATTACCGAATATTTTTCAGAGTTTTAGTGGAGATTATTGATTGTTTGTCTTAATTTAAGTACGTTCTTGGCGATGTTAGAGCTGATTTAGATGAATGCTGAGCTAAGTTCTTAAGAAAACTACATTTGTAGGGAGATTCTTTACTTCATCTATTTGAAAGAAAAAGAATTCATATGAGTACCTTCTTCTGATTCGACTTTCGAGGAAAATCCAGTATTTTCCCTTCCTTCGCACTAACACGATAAGCCGCGTTTATTGGTTTCCTCTGAGCAAGAAGAGTCCAAGAAAAAAAACCTCATCTTCATCGTATAAAAAAGAGCAAAGACCAGCCATCATGCTGATTTCCATTAAATTGTTTTGAAGTACACTAGGAAACATGGCAGAATCCACTAACTGTAAAAATTGCATTATTACACTTATTGCTCTTTTATTTACATTTGGTCTTGTTATGCGATATCGAGAAGAAATACAGTGCAATTTCGATCGATTTCCTAAACTCTTTTTATCGTCACGCAACACTAGTCAAAAAATTTTCAATAAATAATATTAGAAAAATAATGTATTTTGTACTGGTATTGCAATTCACCTGGCAAACGATTAAAATGAAATAGAATTATATCTAATTATATGGTTGGAATTATGCGATAACAATGACATTAACAAGAATCAAGAACGAATTTGTTGTTAGCCAAGTACAACGAGTTGATCAATCATCACTTTTCTTCTCAACTTGTTGGTTCAATAATAACGAATGGACAAATAGCTTATAGTGAGATGAAGATTTTGACTTTTTTATCTCGTTATTAATTATTTGAATGAGGCGTCCGATGGATTGATTTAACTATGAGTTGTGCTTTGGATGATCGTCAAGTAAAGAACACTGAATGTCACTGATACATTTATGATTTGTATGTGCCAACATAGTTGCCAGATGAATTATATTTGACCACTCTGATTAGCGCAGATTGTGTAACAGATAGTGATTGTTAATCAAAATAAAATATGTCGATTTAAAATCTTGTTTGTGTACAATTTAACTAAAAGAATGATAAAAGAATAATGTCTCACAATAAAGTGTATACGAAACGCGGAATGGAAAGTGATAATAATCGAAGACAATAAGACATTGAGAAGAGCAAAAGTACGCATTAATATGGCTGTTAAAAAAAATAAAAATAACAATCGATGCGTAATCATTTCCACAAGTTTGAGAAAATCATTTTATGGTATTAACCTATGACCGTTTGACATCGTCATTTTCATTTTTTTTTCGTACCCATTTTAATACCATTTTGTCATTACCACAACTGCCTGGGTATCCTATATTTTTAATCAAAAGTACAATAGCTGTGCAACTGATTTCCAGTTAGTTTGAGGAAGATAATGTTTTTGGTCTGGCTTTTAGGTAGCAATTTGAATGGATTCAATATATTAGCTTGAAATAAAGACGGCTCATCGTTCGACAAGTACTAGTGTATTGGTACATATTTAGCATTATCACGAGTCGTTTATGCTTCAAGGAGTAATGCATAGGTTGCTAAATTACAAGTGTCTGAGAATGCGTGAAATCGGGGGTTTCAAATGACATATGACCCAAAAGAAAGGACCCAACGAGTCGTATTTACAGTCCACAGACACTGATTCCAAATATGTGACTTTTTTTTGATAAAAATGTGGGTAAAAAATAGTCTTATCGCAAGTTATCGAAGCTCAAACTCTCAAATGATAAGACCAAAGCAAATTTTAATGAATATCGAAAATTACATCAATGGTAAAATTAGCAGTATAGTTCATATACTTCACATTGCCATCCTGATCAAAAGACAGCGGCGACCAATAGGTAAAATCATGTCCTTTGGCACCATCCGGAGAACTTTGCCACTTATTACCTTGCCACAAGTATCCATAACCTTTGTCTTCAGTAGTTTTAAACTGTAAGATATTATACAGTTGAGCATGACCTTCATTTCCTAGATTATTCATTGTTTTAAAAGGACCAAGAGGAGACGAAGAAATATACACAGTGACAGAAGCACCTTCGGCACAATAACAACAACACTGACCGAATACTGTGTAGTAGGTTCCATTGCGTTTGAACATTGCACCACCTTCGACAAAGGTCTCACCAAAATATCCACTATTAAATGTTCTACCTAGTGAACTGAGATAGTCATCAGACAGTTTCTCCACAGACATTAAATGATCTGGTTTGTAAATACTTGCATCAATATGCGAATTATAAATGATGTACGCATCTCCGTTATCATCTTGAAAGAGATTCAGATCTCCCGTATTTTCCCATGCTAGAGTAGTAACCTTGTCAGTAACCAGTTGAAAGGGACCTTGTGGTGTATCCGATACAGCAACAGCACACTGCGACTGAGAGACACCTGTACCTGTAGCTGGCAGAAAGTTAAACCACATAACCCATTTCTTCGTCTTTGGGTTTGGTAAAACGCGAGGGCCAAACATTATTCCTTGAGTCTTCATTGAAGACATTTGAAAGACATATCCACGAAATGTCCATTCGGAGAGATCCGTCGAAGTATAAAGACTAACATTATGATTGAGTTGGAAACCGCATCCGCCTGTGTGCCATACAGTACAACCTGATGGACCCGACGGTTCTTTGCATAGGCCGTAACTTGCACCATAATAATAGTAGAGACCGTCATGCAGAAAGACATTGCCATCATGAGCATCCATTATATTGCCACTAGTATCTCGACGAGGAATGACATTACTGATCGTCACTTTATGACATGTGATGATGCTGATTATTCCAGTCAAAAGAATAATGATGACAATGAGATTTGTTAGCATTATTATGCTGCTAAATCTGAAAGATATGCCAGCCCAATTTTTTCAAGTTTAATCTCAAGTTTCAAGCTTGAATTTGACAAGCTTGAGAATTTTTTGATCGATTCTGTCTGCACTATAATCAAGTGGGACATACTACATGGCAGTTATCGTTTTGTACCATGTATGAAAAAGCTCTCAGCGTAAACCCTATGCAGTGGCGGATCTACCGCAGGCGGTTCGGCGACCGCCATCCCCTCGCAATTTTTTTTCTTAGTTTCCCTCAGCAGAAATGAAAAGAAAAGGAGTTGTACTGACTCAAATAGACTTTAAAAATGGTTTTTTGATCATAATCGCCATTCCCTTACTAATTTTCTGGATCTACCACTGACCCTATGATATTATAATGTGAAACACGACTGAGCCATTTTCGTTGTATATAAAGACCCTTGGTATGCTTATCACGATCCACAAGAAGATTAAAAGAGCAGCATGTCCAGATATCTGTCCGGTAAGATTTAACATTGTAGGATCGAAATATGTTTGTGGCATGTCTTAGGCGATTATAGTACAGATTGAAATCGATCGAAAAATACTCAAGGTCAATTAATTTGGTTTGAGGCATCCCTATCCTCCCTGAAGCAATGGTTACGTCACAGATCGATAAAATGCATCTTTGTTGATGACGGTGAATTGAATTCTACTTTTTATCAGATGAAGCAGAATGCTTCAAACTTAGAGTTGATGACTGAAGACGACCTTTTCCGCATTCTTTGTTACCTGTAGTAGTCGCTATTTTAATAATAATTGATTTTCAGTCGAAAGATGCAATATAGCAAACTTTTGTACGTTCGACAATGAATATGAAAATTAAGAAAATTTTCTTCTATTTCTTACTACCTTTTTTATTTTGAGTTATCATTCTGTTGTTATCATCATAAACAAAATAACAGAAGTAATTTATCAGGTGATATCATACCTTAGAGAAGAAAACTGATAAGAAGAATGAATAACTCTTTGCTTTCATAGTAATTACAAGACTTTCGATCAACAGGAGCTTACAGAAGGGTAAAAGTGGGCTTGTGTGATTTTTGTACATGCTTCTGATAAGAGATACTCAGCATGTAATGAAAACTACCCCAAAACCGACAGTTAATCGCAGTTTTACCAATTCTGTTACAGACTCTATTAACCGCGGTTACTCGATACATTTTGCCGGTTAACGGTCGATAGTTTTCCGGTATGAGTATTGGTAGTGTTGCAACCGGTAGGGTGTTTCCTTACCAGTATCGATACCGGGAAGACCAGCTGTTACACCGACCTGAGTCATCGTTTACTTTCCTTGCCTTGTGACAATCAAATGAACCTCTCGACTATAAATTTTCTCTTTTGAAATCTATTGATGGACATAAAATTTCTTATAATTGCTAATGCTATAATAGCTTTATACAATAATGAAATGTTTGTCAGACGTAAAAATTCTGAAGCAACTATTGATGTACTTTATGTCTCTGAATAAGTTTACTTTGTTACCTCTGTTGTCTTTGCGAAAATTATGGCATAAGTATGTAATAAGTTATTATAACGAACAGTCATTCCATTTTTTTTCAATAGTATAACTTTATAAAATATATTAGACATATTGTATTGAATATTCACTTAATAGATATATACTAAATGATGTTCCTCCATAGAAGTGGTTAGTGATATCAGTAAAACTGCTTTGATATGCAAAGACAAACACCTCCATGATCAATTTTTTGAAAAAACACATACAAATACTCACAAAAAACCTATACCGGTCGGTAAGGAATCCTCTACCGGTCTGAACTGGACCGGTCGCTTACCGGTACTGGTTGCAACACTGTTATGCGCCTCGTCCTTGAATATGATTTTATGCTTTTTTTACGAAGAACTTGAATATCATCTTGAATTTTATTTTTGACCTCTACTTTAGTGAAGGAAATTATCAAAAACAATTTGTCAAATTTGTAAAAAATATTATGTTTTGAGCTTTTTTGTTTTCCAGTGAGTGAGAGTAAGTTGAGAGGAGACCACATCAACACCGACACTCATTTTATGCTACGAGCAGAAACCCGCTTTTGTCCAATACAGAATTATACGCAAGCGGGCTTTTGTTGCTCGAAAGTATTTATATTTCACTTACAAAAACCATCTTTAAGAAAATAAGCCATTTCTTCAAAGAAAAATTTTCGCAAAAATGATCCATGAAAACCCTTGCCACATTTTTCGAAAAAATCTTTCTTTGTTAGAAAATGTATTGCTTTGCACGTCATTCGACGCAGTTTCACTCGCTGATTGCGAAAATCGCCTTTCATTTTCGCTAGGATATTATTTTAAGGATAAAAGCAGGGATTTAGAGTCAAAAATCAGGGTTTTTTTGAGACCCGTAACTTAGTCGACATTCACTAATGCTGTTCGGCACTGTAAACAACGCTAGATTCCACATGGTGGAATATTCACTGAAGATTTGAGCTGCATTTGACTAGAGCTTTTTACAACGTTTACAAAATCGAGAAAGCCAATTTACAGGAACGTTTTTAGCATAATAGTCAAAACTTTGTTTAAAAAAAAAGCGATTTTTATTATCTATAGTTAGATACAACTTGATGAGCTGATTCCGAATATCACCTTGGTTTTGCACCAAAATGTCTCTGTATTCGCAAAAATAACGACTCCCGAGCAGAAGCCTGACTCTTTGGAAAATCACTAGCTCCATTTTTGTTCACTGGTACGACATGATGCTATGGCCAACGCTAAAGTACACATAGAAGAATAATTGGTGAAAATTTGAGCTTAATCCGATTATAACTCTTTTGGGATTCACCAACTACGGTATGACTGATTTTTCGACCTACTTTCGATCCAGTAACCGCATTTTTTTTATACTAAATCTGGTTCGCCCGAAATACTTTTTTCACACAATGAAGCATATAGATCAATCGTTTGTTTCAGATAGTTTTTCATTTTTAACTATCTCAACACTTTGATAATAGCAACGATTTCCGTATAATTACTGATTTATGAACAAGTTTTTTGCAATGATCTTTTCCAAGGTATGACTTGATCTTTGGAGATCCTATTTAAGTGTAAGACAGAGCAACCATGAATGTATTCATTTCGATATTTGAATTTTGGCAAAGTGCACTTCCGATCATGTCCGCCTGGTTGCCCACTGTGCCGCAATAGTTCCGCTTCGATTGTTGGAAAAACTCAAACGAATTACAAAGTAATTCGAAATAAATGAATTATAAAATAATCAAATCTTTATTAATTTGTATCAATAGCTTCAGTAGGGCTTGCAAGAATCTATCTGAGTGTGAATGTTGGCTCATTTTTTCTATGTTTGACTTTTCTTAATTTTGTTTTTGTGAATAAAAATTAGAAATTAGATACTTGTAATGAAGAATTTGTTGCTGATATGCTTTGTAAAAATAAATAGACCACAAAAAAATAAGAAAAATAGATTGACTCGACTGAAAACTGCTACAAAATAACTCAGACTAGACTCAGCACGAGAAATGGCTTGACTCACCGAGCCTTGTATCGGACGCACAAAGTAAATTATTTTAGAATAACATTAGACGAGTAAGACATAATGAGAAATTCTTCATGACATTGAATACTTTCTATAGCATTGATGTTTAATATTTGGTGTAAGAATAAAAATAGAAACATTGTTTTATTATGTGTGTCTGAAAGGTTTAATTCAAACTTCGACTACAACAACATAAAATTGTCAACATATAGGATTTTTTCTTCTTTTCTCATTTTCTTATGTTAATTTATTTCTTTTCAATCCTTTTTTCTTCGTCTTTATCATGCACATATATTACTTTAAACAAATAAGAGATTTATTGTGATTAAAGTATAGTAGCCGTCGCCATTGACTTGATTGCAACTCTGACATTTTTCTCTCTTTTTCAATCCTCACTGCTCTTTTGTAACTTACAAGGGAACATTCCCAACTGTCACATCGCTTTTGAGTCGAGCGTATGGACATTATGTAGGCCCTAATGACCTATGAATGTCCTGAAAAAAGTTCGTGCTGCTAGCTTCTTACTGCTGAGATACAGAATTTTTACTGTATGTTTAAGGAAAAAGCCGTGGTCCACCTCAGGAACATCAGGAAAAGTGACTTTTGGGTTTCCACCTGAAACTTTGCATGTAGACAGGCCTCGATGAGAACAGTTTATTGTGAAGGTTTCAGATTTTTTGGTTGCTCCTAGTCTGAGATAAGAACATCGGATCTGCTGGTGTATATGAACAATTTTACGATAGCTATATCTTAGGATAGGAACAGCGAAAAGAGCTGAAACTTTCACAATAAAGTATTCTCATTGAGGCCTATATCTATGCAAAGTTTCAAGACGAAATTCGAAATTCAGTTTTCCGATGTTCCTGAGGGGGACCACGGCTTTTTTTTCTTAAACATACAGTAAAAACGCTGTATCTCGGCAATAATAAGCTAGCAGCACGAACTTTTTTCAGAGAATTCATAGATCGTGAGGGTCTACATAATGCGCATACGTTCAGCTTAAAAGCGATGTGACAGTTGAGAATGCTCCCTCGTAAGACCCAAGACAATTATAAGATTGTATTTTGAATTTTTGCAAGTCAATCAGAATATAATTTTACTGGATTTGATTTATTTCTGAATGCTTGT